TCCTTTTCTCCAGGCTGAACACCCTCAGCTCCCTCAGCTCTTCCTCATCAGACCTGTGCTCGAGACCCTTCACCAGCTCCGTTGTCCTCTGGACTTCTCCAGTACTTCAATGTCTTTCTTGTCATGAGTAGCTCAAAACTGAAAACAGAACTCAAGGTGTGGCCTCACCAGTGCTGAGTACAGGTGGACAATCTCTGCCCTGGTCCTGCTGGACACACTGTTGCTGGTACAGGCCAGGATACCATTGGCCTTCTTGGCCACCTGGGCACAACTGGCTCATGTTTAGCTGCTGTTGACCAGTACCCCCAGGTCTTTTTCCTCTGGGCAGTTTCCCAGCCACTCTGACCCAGCCTGTGGTGCTGCCTGGGATTGTTGCAATGCAACTGCAGGAACTGGTAGCTGGTCTTACTGAACTTCATGCAACTGGCCTTGATCCACGGATCCAGCTGGTCCAGATCCCTCTGCAGAGCCCTCCTGCCCTCCAGCAGATCCACACCCCCACTCAAATTGATGTAATTTCTGAACTTACTGAAGATGCCCTCGATCCCTTCAGCCAGATCATTGATATATATATAGTAAACAGGACTGGCCCCAGCACAGAGCCCTAAGGAAGCCCAATAGTGACTGGCTGCCAGCTGGATGCAGCACTGTTCAGCACCACTCTCTGGGCCCAGCCATCCAGCCAGTTTTAACCCAAAGAAGAGTGAACGTGACCAAGCCATGGGCTGCCAGCTTTTTCAGAAAAATGCTGTGGGAGACAGTATCAAAGGCCTTACTGAAGCCCAGGTAGGCTACAGACACAGACTTCCCCATGTCATAACTCTGCTTTCTCACAAGTAATCCTGCTACCTCTTCATCTCAGCTGTCAAAAGGCAGGCACCAGTCACAGTTCTAAAGGACGGTATTGCAATGCTAATATTACAGAAGGAATTCACCTTGAATTCCTGATTTCATGTGTAGTTGCCCAATTTCTGAAAAGAGCTGCAGCCTTAAAAACAACACTCAAACCAGACTATTGCTGTCAACCAAAACAGGACAATGTTGACCTAGTACTTCAAGAAATAGAAAGACATAGCACAAAACTTAAGTCAGAAGCTCAAATGTCTTCCACTAAAAAAGTATGCCCACTATAATCCTTCAGATTTCATTACACATGCAAAGCTATGTAGATTATTAGAATCAAATCCATAGGTATTTTGTAATTAACAAAATATTAATAATTACTGCATACCAAGATGCAGGTGCTGCACTCCTTGGCCCATTTCACATCTTTGTCTGTCAGCACAAAAAAATAAAAAACAACAAAAAAACAGGTAAAGGCTACATACTGTTGGTCTCTTGTTCCTGTCCAACCACAGGATCAACTCCTGAATGCCAGAGCGCTGTACTGCCTGCAAGAGCAGGTGTCTGTGCAACATTCTTCTCTCTTTCTTGACTATCTGCAGCCTTGATGGCTTCATTGGCTTTCTTCTCTGATGAGAGATGCTGTGATGGTGCTGGACCTGCTGAACGGGATGTGCCCCCACTGCTAATGAGAATGAACTTGTTGGGCCCATTGTTGCCACACTCTTTTCCTTTTGCTGTCAGTGCCTCTATGATGCTCTGGATATCAGCATTTGTAGGGATGGCCACCACCTGTGTATTGGGCATTGTAGGATGGTCAATTATCTTTATTCCTGCTGGGAATTTCTGCAGGCCACAATCCCTTTTGTCTCTGGGTTGTCGGTTGTGTTGGTCTTCCTGCTTTTGCTCCTGCTTAGGAGCCTTTTCATCCTGACCTCTGTTCTCATCTCTTGCTGCAGTACTGGATACATCGTTCTGTGGGAGGGTCAATTTCCGTCTTTTCAGAATTAAGGGCCTGCGAGGGCTGGTCCTCATTATTGATCTATACTGTCACTCTCCATTGAAAGGGAGAGGAACAAATCCTGCAACACAAAAGGTACAACATAAAGGATGCGGCAAATCATCTCAAGACCTCCCACAGAGCACACATTCTCAGCAGTTGCTACAAAGCTAGAAACACAAAAGGAAAAGAAAATTTAAAGCATTTAATAAAGCTGACAAGGCGACTGAAAAATCATGCTGTACCTCCTTAACCCACACCTGGTGTAAGCAGGATGGGAGAGATTTGCAGAGTAGATAGCTTGCATCATAAAGTACATAATAATGAGAAAAGTGTGTATGTGCTTTACAGGAAGACTTAGACATAATGTGACTTGACCAGCATCAGCCAGTAAGCTGAAGGAGAGGGAAGGTAGAATATAGAAACAGCAGTGCTGATTCTTATAGCCTATAGCTCTAAACAGTAGACCTGCTTGAAAAGAGAATTTAGAGGTGGTTTAAGATCTGGGAAGCAGAGATTATCCTGAACACTACAAAGGCACACAATAAATGCAGCAGAAGTAAGGTGCTTTAAGATAGACACCAAATAAATGTGCTGTGAATTTCTTTTGAAGATTTGTCAAGAACCAGGTAAATTCATCATCGGGCAGCATACAATTTAGACGTCAAACTTTTGGACAACAGGCGGTTTAGACTATAAAGCTGAAAGCAGAGGAAATAAAATTCAGAGATACTGACTGCTTCCAGGGTAAGATGCTGTAAGAACACTGCTAATAATACACCATCAGGAATTCGGTGGAGCCTGTGACTTTCCGCAAACTATACCAGAACAATATGCAAATTATTGCTTATCATTAGAGATGGCAAGCAGAATAAAAACAAATACCCCCAAAAAAGAGGCTCTTTCCATTGCTAGATTTGACGGGGTCAGCAAGTAAATGAGAAAATTATCAGTAAGAACCCCCTACATTGATACAAAGCAGAGTCCAGCAGATAACAAGCTGGGCTGATGCCCTAAGCACAGGGACCAGACAGCCCTGCGATCATTCCACGCGGGTTCTGGCACTCGGCACGGCAAGCATGGCCCTTTGCGATCTGCTCCACCCTCTTAAGGGGAGATCCCGGTAAGACAGCGCCACAAGTAGAACCCTGAGCCAGCCTCCCACAGCCTGCCTTCCTTACAGGAGCGCGTCACTTCCCGAGGAGGCCTCAATCTGCTGCCCCCCGTACAGGCCCGGGCACTGCCGTGTTCGCGCGGCCCCAAGGGGCGAGGGAGGGCAGCGCCAAAGCGCTCCCAACTCCTTCTTCCCCCACTCCAGCCCTGCGCTGCCGCCCTCGCCAGCAAGTTCACCTGCTCCCGCGGGGCCCTCCAGCCCGAGCCGGGCCTAGGCGCTGCCCTCTCCCGGTCGCCCGATGGCCTTAGCACGGCCCTCCGAGGGGTACCGACCCTTGCCTGGGGTCCTGGACCACCGTGGCGGGCACAGGTCGCGACTCACCAGCGGCCCGGCCGGGCAAGGCCGATACAGGGCGGCGGCGGCCCCAGCGCTCCCGGTTTGAATTTGGCGCCCGGCGCGGCGCTGGCCCGATCACGTGCCGGCCTGCGCCAGTGAGCGGCGGGGGCGGGGCCGGCAGGGCCGGGCCAATCGGCGGCCTCGGCGGGGGATACGGATGCGGGGGCGGAGGAGAGCCCAGGGCAGAGCTCGGGCCGCTCCCGGCATTGTGTTGTCTCGCCTGCCTTGTTCTGGGACAGCCGCTCCCGCCCCGGCTGGGGCAGTGCTGGCAGCTTCCTTCAACCATGCTACTCGCGGCTGGGAGCCCTGCTGTGCGCCCGGGCTGCTGGCATTGCGCTGACTCCTGGTGAAGGGCTACGGAGTTTTACCGTTTAACGTGTGTGTTACGGCTGCACCGGGCTAGGGGGGCCCGCAGGACTCCCTGAGCACTCTGACACTTAGGTAAGTAGTCAGGCTGTTGCAGTCTCCCACGTTTCTTATGAAATAATATCAAATTTTCTTGTCTGTGCTGATCTGTGGTAAGTCAGGTTGGGAGAATATGAGCCAGCTGTGCCCAGGTGGCCAGGAAAGCCAATGGCACCTGGCCTGTATCAGCAATAGTGTGGCCAGCAGGAGCAGGGCAGGGATTGTCCCTGTACTCGGCACTGGTGAGGTCACCTCGAGTGCTGTGTCCAGTTCCGGGCCCCTCACTTCAGGAAGGACGTTGAGGTGTTGGAGTGGGTCTAGAGAAGGACAGCAGAGCTGGTTTGGAGCACAAGCCCTGTGAGGAGTGGCTGAGGGAGCGGTGGGTGTTCAGCCTGGAGAAAAGGAGGCTTAGGGGCCTCCTTTTATCACTCTCTACAACTGCTTGAAAGGATATAGCCAGGTGGGGGTTCACCTTTTCTCTTAGGCACCTAGTGATGGAACAAGGGAACGTTGTCTTAAGCTGCACCAGGGGAGGTTTAGGTTGGGCATTAGGAAGAATTTCTTCACAAGAAGAGTGATTAGACATTGGAATGGGCTACCCAGGGAGGTGGAGTCACTATCCCTGAAAGTATTTAAGGAAAGACTGGATGCAGCGTTTAGTGCCGTGGTATAGTTGCCATGGCAGTGTTCGGCCATTAGGTTGAAACTAATTGATTCTGCGAGTTGTTTTCCAACGGAAAAGTAAATACCATGTTACTTCAGTTCAAACTTATTCATTAGGTAAAACAAATAAATCATCAAGATCTGTAGAATACAGGAGGGAGATGTCAACTCTATTCTGTAAAAAAAAAAAAGAACAAACTTAAAATCTCTTGAAATTAAAACGTATAAGTAGTTAGCAACTAGAAGGGGAAAGAGTTCTGATTATCTTGGCCTTATAATACCTTCTTGGCATTACAAGCGAGATTGAATAGAAAAAAAGAAAATAAGTTTTTTGGTTTTTTTGTCTTTTGATAGCTGACTTGATATTGCTGGATCAGTAGGTCAATAGCTCCCATTCCTGCAGTGCATTTCTAAATCTACCTGAAAATTGACAAAAGGTTCAAGAACTACTGTTGGGAAAAAGTCTGCCTCGAGATATGTACACTGTACTGTTGCACAGATGTTTTGCTTTTGTTAAAAACTATATCTGAGGCTGACAGACAACGAGTCTGTCTTCAGATTCATTTATTTGCCTTCTACAGATTTGAGAGCACTCTAGCATCTCCTTGGGGTGCTTTCCTCTTTCTTCAATTAGCTCCAACAAGCATCATGAGGTTTCTAAGGAGTTCTACCACACCTTTTGATGCCTCCGAAGAAGAAGTGTACCCACAAGGCCAAGAAGGCAGAGCTGGTTTTCCTTGAGAGGCCACGGGCAGGACCCATCCATTGTTATGAAACTCCACTGTATTCGGCTGAGAATCCCAGACGTGTGCCTACAAAACCTGTGGACAAGAACACCTCTGCTGCCTGGGTTGGTATAAATTATCTTTCCTCCTGTGTCCCACAGCAAGAGCTTTCTCCTGTATGTCTTAACAGAGTTATCTGTTCTGGATATGGAAAATTAGTAGCCTAGACCTGAATTCCCTCCATCAGTCTAAAGCATAAATAAGTGCTTGAGTTGCTTCACATTCTAAGAATAAGCACTAAGGTCTTGGTTACTTGAAGACATAAACTGTGTGCAGTCTGTACTGATTAATGACTATTTGTTTTCTAGGAAAATAATTCCCATCAGGAAAACCACTGTTTTCCTTGGCAACAGAAAACCCTGCACGAAGAGATTTTTTCCTAATGGCTTGCTGTTTGAAATAACTGCTAAACTCTAAATGTTACCTGTTAAAGTATTGGGTGCATTGTTTAAATCTGACACTGCTAAATTTAGAGAATATAGCTTTTCACTTCAGAATTATTTGCTCTAACCTGCCCTCTTTTCAATTTCTGTGTTTTGAATAGTTTCTCTCCATACCAATCTTCTGATGGGGTCATTTTCTTGTGACTGTTTGCCGTGTCCTAAAGTACTCCTCATATCGTGTAATGTAAAGATCTTTTTTTTTAGCAAACAGCTGCAGCAAAGACAGACCATTCCTGTACAACAGCAGTCATCACCTAGGGGAGCTCTGCTTAAACATTACTGCTGCTTGACTGTGCTCTTCACAAAGCAAGCTCAGGAAGTGTGGTTTCAAACCTGCATGAAACATTCCTTTGTTCCTGTTGACCTGCAGGTATTTTTGTGATGCCTTAGCCTTGAAATAGAGCATCTTCAATTTTTTTTTTTTTTAAATATCTGCTTGAGGCAGTTAGCTCTACGGTTTCTGAATCACTAAGTAACATAACTGCTGTGAATAAGCATTCATTTTGTTTGGAAGAGGTGGAAATATCCACTCTGGTAGCTCTGATTCCAAAAATACAATGATTCTAAAATTTGTTTGAAGTTATCAGCACTGAAACTGCTAGATATTTCTCAGTTTGGAAACTGGCAAGTTTGTAACTTCTGGGAGTCATCCTCTGCAGAGTATTGTAAACTTGTTTCAATGGAAACTGATTTTCTGCTCCTTTCTTTCTGGCATTATCTAAGTTTTTCATACCTTTTTCACTGCTAGGTTCCTACAGAGGTAAAACCTACCCTACATGTATGTTCTCTGAAGCCAGGAAGCCATATTCTTAAAATCAGAGGCTATGTTAAGTATACGCTGGGATCAGAATTATTATGGAATCACTTATCTTTTCCTCCACAAAGGCTTTGCATTCAAACAGTTCAGCTGTACATCAGACAATCGCCATCCTTAGTTAAATTGCACTCAGTGTTTTGAAGAACTATATAGTAACTTCAGAATGCTGAAGGAGATCTGCAGTTAGTGTAGCAAGAACTCAGTTTGGTGTGCTCCTGGGAAAAGCAAACTGGAATCTGAAACAGAGTCTGACTCTTTTGTTGATAACCAGGAACACAAAGAACACTGTAATAAAAGGATTTCCAGGATTTAAATATAAGTCTAGAATCATTCAAAGAAATACAGACTTTTGAGCTTGGACCATGTCTTCTATAGAAAGTTGATTGTAGAAGTGGCTTCTGGGTGATCTGTTCCTTCACAATACAGAAATGTTTTCAAAACTAGGTTTTGAAACAAAGATGTTTTGGGGAAGATTTTGAACACCATATTAACATAATCTAAGGGGATTGAGCTAAGTGGGCATTCTTTAATAATTATGTGTTGCTTTCCCAGTTATTCTTTGGGGAGACTGAGGATTCATTTGAATTATTCTAAGACACAGAAAAAAAAAAGGATCCATTCTGAACTTCTTAAAATCTGCACAGGTAAAGGCGTAGACACCACTTTGATTCCTTTAAAACGCACATCTTGAGTTCTTTGTGAGTTGCCAGAGAACAGCTCACTTGCACCCCAGTGACTTTCCAGAGAAGAGTGGCAGAAAGTGATGCTGAAGTTCAGAGGTATCTTATGCACAACAGCTTTGTTAGTGACTCATGTGCTTTGCTGCAGAACAGATTACTCAATGAACACACTGAAGAAAGATGGGGAAGTAGAATCGGGTAGGTAATACTTGTCTGGAGAAAAGGGTTGCGTTTCTATCTTATTATTATGTCTTTCCCTTCAGGTGTGCCCACAATTTGACACAACTAAGTCAGTGGTGTTGAAGGCATGCCAGAAGAAGCATCGTGGTCCTCACAAGCCCCATAATCAGGATGCCAACCACAGTTCATTTCACGCAGGAGGAGCTTGTCGAGGAGCAGTAGCCTGCAGATTTCCTCCTTTAACTTTTGAGAATCCAGAAGGACATGCAGTCCCTCCACTGGATGATCCAAATCTCTTGAGAAAAAATGCACAATGCTCTCACAACCAGCCTAAGAAAGGGACAACAGAAAACGCCAACATCCAAGGGAAGAGTCCAGAGAATTGTGGAGAGCCCGCTCCCCGGGTTGCGGAGCAAGAAGTTCTTCCTCCACCATATGCAGAGGCTGCACATGTTCCTTCCCCAAGGAATGAGAGATGCAGCAACGGTCTATCACAAAGTACTTATGCTTGGCATCCAGAGAATGAGCTGGCATTTGGTATTGATCCCTGTGGGAGAGGGGAGGCGGCAGCAGCAGTACTGGTTACAGATACTCCTGAGCACGAGTATGGAATAAAGGTCACCTGGAGACGGCGGCCTCACATAATGAAATATCTGCGGGAGCAAGGGAACCTGAGCGCTGCGGACATCCTGGTGAAGGCAAACATGGAGCTCTCGAGGGGACAGGCCCACTCCTGACCTGGCGGGAGAAGCCGCTGTGCTGCGTGCAAGAACACGCCCGAACAGACGACGTCGCTTCGGGGGCTGAGGAGGGGACCTGATTTCAGCCAGGCCCTCTACTGCGCCTGGCAGAGCCTCCGAGAAATGCCGGGACGGGCGCGGGGGAGGGTCTTGGCGATAGGGGGGTGTCTTTTGGGGCGGTCTTCCCGGGGGAAGTGTGTACGGAAAGCATTTCGTGCCCCACGCGGTTCCCGCTGGGGCCGTTCCCCGCTCCCGCCGGAGGAGGCGGGCGGCTCCCGCGGCGAGGGACGGGCGGGCCCTTGTGCTCCGCTGCGCGTGCGCGGCGCCGCGGCCAATCGGCGGGCGGTGTGCTCGCGGCCCCGGCCAATAGCGGCGCGCCTCAGTGCCGCGCGCCGTTGCTAAGGGCAGCGGCGGGCGGAGGCCCATAGCAACGGCGGGGCCGCGATGGAGGGAGCGGGGGAACCAGGCGGTCCCGCCGGCCGCAGGTGAGCGGGGCTTGGGCCGGCGGCGTCCCTGGGACCGAACAGGCCTGGGCAGGGGCTGCCTCGCGTGGCAGCAGCGCGGCCGTAGGGGGGACCGGGCGGGCGGAGCCGCACGGCAGCGGCCACGCGGGTCGGCGCTGCCCCCGTAACACCCGCGTCCCGCGGGCGGGCGACAGCCGTGCCGCTGTTTTATGTGCGGGTGTGTTTTATGTGCTTCGCTCTTCAACGTTGGTGTGCACTGTCTGAATACTTGTGGATTAAACCGGTTTTGTGGTGCATCGGTCCACTCTTGCTTTCTACTGTGAAGCGTTTTCGCGGTGTTATTCAACCCCTCTGCTCCTCCTAATGAAGCTCTCTGGGTATTTGCAAGTATCACTCTCGGTGTGCCTTTGCAAGAAAAAAAAGGAGGAATAACTGAAATGAACTCAACTGATGTCATAGGAAAAACAGCTGTGAACTAGGGAGAAGCGGTTTTGGAAAGACTTCATGCTCGTGGCACTTAAGTAAGCTCAAAATCGGAATTATTTGAAATTAAATGTGATTATACCGACAAGCAGAGAAAACGAGTTTTGGCAGAATTGGTGTGATGGCAAAAAAAACTAGGAAAATCTATCTTTGTGCCTCCGTTTGGATAGGAAGAAGTAAAGCAAGTAAAGAGAGAAACCTAAATTGGGTAGTTAAATGATAATGACCACAGTGTTAAAGAGAAACAGTATTTTTTTTTGTTACATACCTTGTTGCATTCGCTAATTTAAATAGGATGAAAAACAACGCTAGAGTTTAAAAGGGTCCTGTAATTGCTTGGGTCCACCAAATATGCTATGGAACGTTAGATTACTTCTTTATGCAGACTTGAAAGACCTTGGGTTGTCTAGCAGTTCTGGAAACAATTTTTAAGGAAATTATGTCCAGATACGTAAATTTCCCTGCACAGTAGACTTTTAAATTTGACAAAGTTGATGCTACAAGAAATAATGCTGTTCTTCTGATTGCAATTCTACTGGCATAATTTCTTCCTGCTAAGAAACCCGTCTTGTGTACTTTTATGGGCGTCCCACAGAAACAGGCTAACGATAATGGTAATTCTTGGGATAGGTCCCAAGAACTAGCCCTCGCATCCCAGTTTATTAAAGAAACATCAATTTCTGTAGCTTTCTTAGTCCCCATGGTTAAGGTAAGGAAACTAGAATGTGTGAACCTAAAGAAAAGTACGTAGCTTCAAAGTAGAGCTGTAAGGCTTGGTATTTTCAGGGGTCTGACACTGAAGTTGGGGTGTTCATCAGCCTTGTAATAAATTCAAGGAAGACAAATGTCTGTATTCTTAGGAAGGTTCTTCTTTTTCTGGGACATTATGCAGAAGTCACTAATCTGGTTACTAGAATTCTTCTTTGGTAAAATAATTGTCGGTTGTCCAAACAGTGGATTTTATAAAAAAGGTAGATGTGATACATAATAACTGGCACTTCATGGCAGTTAAGATACTACAGGTAAAGTTTAACAAAGCTGTACCTGAGAACTGGTTGATAGCATTTTTTTTTTTTTGCCATTTTTTCCCCCGGGATGGAATGCCTTTACTATTGAGCAATGTGAAAAATATACATAAGGATATTGAAACTATTTTATTTTTGCTGGACAGAGTCGAATATTACCAGTCAAAAATTAAGGCATATTGTTTTGTAAGTGTGCTGTGGGATACATGATTATGGACAGATAGCAGAGATCTTGGATTTAGGCCATCGACAGGTTGTCACTTGCAAATACCGTGTTGTGTTAGACTCTCTTCCACGGGAGCTGGCTGCAACTGAAATTGCTCAACTTCATTTTAAAGTTTGGCTTTCAGGTAGATACGGCACAACTGTCTTAATACTTTAGAAAATTATAAGCTTGATATTGCTGTTTTATGGTTTTGATAAGTGCTAGACCTTCTCTCTTTTTTGGGAAAGTCCATTTGGAGACTTACCATGAAATTATTAGTGTAGAAACATTCAGGTAAAAGTAATTCTAAATCATTGTAAGCTTTTAAAATATCTTGAAGGAAATTTGTTTCTTATGGTAGTATGCATTTTAGAATCTCAGAGAACAATGGACTTTGCCCTTTTGCACACTAATCATACAGTATACAGGAATACTTAAAGCTTCCCATGTGCTACATTCCAGATATGCTTCAGCTTCTGACTTGCAGATGTCATGTACAAGGAACATAATTTTCAAGGGGCAATAATCTTGACTGAGTCTACAGAGGCTACAAAACTGGATGTCAGCTACAGCAGTCCTGCCCTCATTTGGATGCTTCCTTTGGGTCCAGACATGCATCAGTTAGTGGCTTTCAGTTTGTGAACTCAGGAACTCTGGGCTACTTTCTCAGTGCCTCCCAATGTTAATGAAAATCAGCCTGTTGCCAATTAGCTCAGTTTTCAAAATAGTAAGAGCCCACGGATTAAGAGAAGTTGAAAACTTCAAAAGTTGTACTGTTGTTCAGCCAAAAGTCCTTTCCACGTTTTAAAAACTTGAGTGCGGTTGAGATTGTCAGGAATCTCCATGCCTGCTGGGCTTGAGTATTTTGTATAAATACACCATAATTATGATTTTGAGGAGAAAAAAGTCTAAATGCTTTGCTAATTATTTTAGCTATACTTGTAAACCAGAGAAGTTTAAATTTCCTTTTAAAAGCCTCTCAGCATCTCTGTTAGTCCTTGAGTATTTTTATTTAGCCACCAGTGACCTTCTCAAAATTAACAAGCAATGTTTGTTAAATTCCAGGACTTACAATTCTGCAAATCTTATCGTTAGATGAACGAGAATTGGCTTTATATCCGGTTTGCTTCACCCCATTCAGCTCTAAACATTATAATGAAGAAATCTGTCCAAAGCGAGATAAACCTGTAAATATTTTATGAGTGTGGTTGGTATATACTCCTTGGAGTACAGATTCAACCGAAAAGGAAACCTTTTGCAATTTGATGCAGCATCTGTTAATATAAACGAAGGAATTACTTCACTTCTTGTGATGTAGACAGCAGTGGCAAGAGAGAAGAGGCAACACGTGTGACTAAAATTTCCAAATACAATTTGAGATTCACTGGGCAACAGCAGTTGCAAAGAGCTGTCCTATAGTTGAACCTTGTTTGAATTATCTCTTTAGTTTCTAGTTAGTTCTTTTCCCATCTCTTATCACCTAGAATTTAGGTTACTGGTGACCTTTTTTTTTTTTTTTTTTTTTTTTAGAGCGAGCCATTACTTTTCTGGTTTTTTGGGGTTTTCTTTTTTTGCTTCTTTTTTTAAGAAAAAAATCACTGTTGGTGTGGCATTTGTAGGAGGGACAAACGCACTGACTTAACATAATTATGACTTTGTATGTGTGAAAACTTTCTGCAACCGGACTTGCACTGGGATAGCTCCAGACTCTTGTTTTGTTGCTGAGTCACAGCTGAGTGATCTCCAAACTAAAACTGTTGTAATTGGGTCATGGGATGAATTCTCTTCTAAGTGGATTTGCTGATATGCCTGGAGATGTTGCCTTAGACTACTGCAAGAACATTTATGCCAACTCTTAGTGCTCTTTAAAACATACTCTGTGGGATGTTTGAACTCTTGACTGCCTGTGTTCTTACTTTGGAGTTTGGGTGCTTCTACATTCCTTTCTGACTTTGCATTCTTATGTGATATCTGAGGGGAAAAAAAGAACAAGAACTAAAATCTAGCAGTGATACCTTGCCGAGTCATCTAGTTTGAAATCGAAATGAAATTTTGCTGTTTCTCTCTCTTTAATGGCTTTCCCTTTCAACTTTTCTAAAATAAAAACAAAAAAAGCCAGGACTGGGAACAAAGGTCTACAATCAATTCTAGAGTGTCAGTTGAGAAAATTTCATGTTCCTTTCCCTATTTTTAGTTTAAAATACTATTGGGCAAGTGCAATTCGGCTTGTCGAGTGTGATGCTCTTGTTTTCAGAGAACTTTGACTTTTGTTACCTGGTCTGGGTTAAGCATAGCATGTGCTATTTAACTGCTGCCTTTGTTGCTAGGAGAGAATAATGGCTGCTCTCTATTTCACTGGCTTCCTGCTGTAATGAGGTACAACGTCAACAAAAGTGACAGGCGAGGTTTAATATTTCACAAACAGAAGATCACAGGAGACAGAATTCCAGCCTGCTGGGGATCCTGCTCTTTCCTTGGGCAGAGGTGTTTCTGTAGGTGAAATGACCATGGTGATTTGAAGCATGTAGTTGAGAGGACATTAAATAGAACAGTGAAGTTCTGCTTATAGAATAAATTTCTTTTCCCTAGCAGAACCCTAAGTTTCATTAGGTTCAACCGAATAAACCTGAAGCATAGTGCTCTGTAGCCGTAATAGTGGTTAGGAGCTGAAAATTCCTGAGTCATGGAGTCACCGACTGTGAACACTTGAAGGAATATGCCTGACAGGAGGTTCTTTGTCTCCCTTTTCTTGAAATAATTATAATAAAAAACCTGTTAAAACCCTTTGTTTGGCTACACACTTAAAATATAACTTTATATATAAGTGCATATTCTTATGATTCCATTCCTCTGTG